TGAAGTTACACACATCACATTTAATCACATCCTATTGGGCAGAATTAAATTGCATGTGCATGCTGGCAGTAAGCAAACTTTAGAAATGTTAGTCTTTTGGGTGGTCATATGCCTAGCTAAACATTAGGAGCTCTGTTAATATAGAGGAAAGGGAGAACAAAAGTTAGAAGGCCAGTATCAGTCTGGGTGACATAGTGATGGTCCCTTTCTTTTCTTTTGCCCCCTCAAAGGCAAAAATGGGTTCGGTTCTCTGTTGTATCTCAAGGGCATAGTATCCAGCACAAGTAAACATATACTACATTTGTGTAGGATCAATAAACAAACAGAAAGTCCTAGAAAACACAGGAAACAAAAGGAGAACAGTGGCTGGCTCCAGTGACTGCCATGTGCCTGACAGCCCAGATGGAGGATAAGGAGAACGAGGGGTAGGGGAGTTGGAAGGGAAAGCTCATAACCCCAGGGCTGCCTCCTGAATGTTTACTGTACGAGGCCAGGGGTAACGCCCAGCTTGCCATGAGCTGAGAGTCCCAACAGAATGGCGCAGGCCACAGAACCACACTGGCGGCCATAGACAACTCCAAACTGCTAAACGGGAACATTAAACTACACACACGATTTTATCTATGAAGTGTTAAGAGGTTTTTTAAGAAATAAATTGTTTACATTTGTACTTTTTATGAAACATATCAAATATTTAAAAGAGTATACATGACATGTACAGTTTTTAAAATAATAATAAACCGACAGGACTTCCATCACTTAGTTTAAGAAGAAGAATGACACAATTATCTGGAAGTTAATCCGCTCACACCCTCCACCACCTTCTCCAGAGGGGATCTCTTTCCTGAGTTTGATCTTCATGCTCTGCTACCTTCTTCACGTTTTTGTCACACAAGGATGTATGCCCAAGAAGTATGCTATTCACTTCTACCTGCTTCCAAACTTCAAAAAGATGGAATTAGATTTAATACACACACACACACACACACACACACACACACACACACACACACACATTCCTAGGTGACTGCTTTCATGGTTCAATCAAGTCGGTGTACAGTGTAATTCGTTCATTTTCACTGCAACACAGTATTCTCCTGTATAGGTCTACCACAATTTATACAGCCATTCTCCTTTCTAGGGGCAATTGAGTAGTTTCTAGGTTTTTGCTATTAAAGTAATACTGCTATGAACATTCTTCTCAATAAGTTTTGTCTTTCACATTTGAGTTCTCAATCCATTAAATATTTTTTCAATGATATGAGGCATAAATCCAGTTCTTTTTTTAAATATGGATAATCAATAGTCTTGCCATCCTTTATTGACTAGTCTGTCTTTTTCCTACAAATCTGTAATGTCACCTTTCTCCCATATCCAATGTTCCTACGTGTAGGGGTCTGCTGCGAGAGTGTGAGGGTCTCACAAGCCTACAGGGAGGAAGGGAAAGCAGCAGATGGCGTGTGGGCAAAAACAGGTAGGCCTGCACACTGAACACCACCTGGCCAGACCATCTCCACTTTCATCTGTTTTCTACACTGAACTGTGAAGTAAGACTTATACAGAAAACAGTTCTATGGTTAAGAATAGAGTTTGAAAAGCACTGACAACGTGTTCTAAAGCCCTTTTCGCCTGAAAATCTACTGTCTTAACTTCCAGACATCATACTACATGCATATTTACAGCTTCTTCTGAATTTTGATACATCACTTCAGATAAGGCAATTTCTACTAACAATATTAGTATTTCTGAAAGGATCCAAACCTTGGTTTGAAATAAAAAATTCCCTTACAAATTGTGTCTTATTTAGCGTTCTTATCAGCTTCTAATAATTACTTTCCTCACTATATGGCATAAATGCTTGTGGTCTTCTTTATATTTTAACAAAGTTTAACTCAGAACTATGAGTTGCCAAGAATATAATTTCTTGTGGGCCTAAACAAGAAAGTCTAAGAAAATGAGCAGTGCTGTTATTTTGACTTTATTTTTAAATTGATGTGAACCAAATGATGAACAATATAAAATACAAGGTAACTTTTTAAATTTTCTGTTGTATCATTTGAGAAGTTTTTGTTTTTATTTTTATACATTTGGTTTTTTAAAAAACCTTATAATCGAAGTATAAAATAGATACAGAGAAATGCATTAGTACCACTTTTAAAAGTGAAATATATATCAATTAGCAGCATTCTCTCTTTTCTCAGATCTGTTTGAATGAATAAATAGACTGTAATGCTTCAGAAGTAGATTACATGTCACCAACTAGTTCTGTGTGATGATCCAGTATTGTGTCCCAAGAGCGAGGTTCCCAGGTGTTACTAAGCAATGGGACTTGTGATGCCATTGTGAATGCTCCAGATCCATTTCCTCACAAGTTCCAAGTTCTTCCACGTGGTTCAGCTACCAGTGATTTGTGCACTGGGTAGAAAGAATGTTGTACAAAGTAGAGTTATCCAGAAAATAAGTCCATCTTATATAAACTAAATCCATGACTGAAAAAAATTTATAAATAAAAAATGGCTGTATCACATAGATTAAAGCTAAGGGATAGAATACTCAATAACAAATGTGGCATAAGAATATTTCTATTTCCTAAATGATTTAAAATAATGCATTAATCTGTTCATGACCTGAGGTAAGTGTATTTATTACTTATAACTTATTATAAATAGATAGAAATTTGCATTAATAAAAATTCTATTATAATTTTATTAAAAGACAAAAGTTACATATAAGTAAGTTAAGATCCTTCTTTTAAAAATCAAGAAAAAAGTCAATTTAAAAATCCTTTTTAAAAATCGAGAAATCACTTTTATATACTATTTTAGAGGCCAAAACAAAAGAGATAACTATGAAAGATTGGAAGTTATTTTGAAATAACTATCATTTTTAGATGGAAAAATATACTTTTTTCACATCCCCTGCATATTGTTTCATAGTTCTTAACAAAGTTGCGAAGCAAAATTTAAAGGACTACAAAGAATTTTCAAACTTCAGGATTATAAATCTTTACAAGTGCTTCCTGTACTTAAGTCTGTGGAACAAATGAGTGGTATGAGTGTAAAATTGCTGTACTTCACTTCAGCCAAAATGCTCCTAAAAATGTGTGCATATATGAAATCTTACTTTAAGGGCCCCAACATCTTATTATTTAAGAGTCTATAATAAATTCTTTTGTAAAAAAGAATAATTAGCCTATGGCTAATCTACTGCAAATATTGTCTTACCTTAAGCCGAGACACCTCCAAAGAGATTAATTACAGACCATACCATTCAATATTCACAACCCACTAGAGAAAACTCAGACAATTCAGGCCAGGTTAGTTCAAGAGCCCAGTTTTCCCCTATACTAGTAATTCCCAGTATACTATGTAAAGCATATCCTCTTAGAAAAGTCCATCCTCAAGTGGTGGGAGCTTTACAGAATACTTTAATGCCAGGTCTATAGAAATGTCACTCGCCGGGTTTGGTGGCTCAGCCTGTAATCCCAGCACTTGGGGAGGCCAAGGTGAGAAGATTGCCTGAGTCCAGGGGTGCAAGACCAGTCTGGGAAACTTGGTGAGACCTCGTCTCTACAATAAATCAAAAATCAGCTGGGCGTGGTAGCGCACACCTGTAGTTCCGGCTACTTAGAAGACTGAGGCGGAAGAATTCCCTAAGTCCAGCAGGTGGACACTGGGGTGGCTGTGAGTGTGCCATGGCACTCTAGCCTGGGCGACGGAGTGAGACTCCAACTCAAAAAAAAAGAATTATGATATGGAGAAACAAGATGCTGAAAGAGGCCAGAAACACTGAGATTCATGCAAGAGACACAGACAGTGAGGCCATCTGCACCAGGCAATGAGAAAGCATGGTCCTGGCTGAGACCGTCTGGGGAGTGTTTGGAGTGAGCTTAGAAGAAATCCCAGGACCAAGCCACGAGATCTTCCATCAGGCTTATGACTCAGAAAGAACATGAGAAAGAGAAAAGCACAGCTGCAGAAAGACCAAGTGAGATGAACACAGAAACACAGGATGAAGTCTGGCAGGGAGGAGGGCGCTGGTGACATGTAGGAGGGCCAACTGGGGGCTGCGCTGAGGGGGAAGAGAGGTCAGCAGGCAAATGCATTGAGGCTGCTCCTCAATGGCAATGCTTTGGAGCACGATTTTACCTAAACTCAATACGGTGGTTCCAGTTACTCCATACTTTTAAGGCCTAACTTAACAGTACGTTAAGTTAGTCAGGATTGACAATAGCTTTCTTTTGAGAAAACTGAGGCAGAATGGGACTGATTAACCCCAGAGCTTGTTTTGGTCACAAGTGGCAGTCTTCATTTTTGTTTAACCTCCACGAGATAATACATTCACCAATTATCTTTTTCTCTTGGGAATTATGCATTATACCAGAAGCTATATTCAAGTTAAATGTTCAGTAAAACTCGTACCTGTCTTCGCTTTCAGCACTGCTGTCTCAGCAGCACAAAGGGGCAGCAGAGAGACTGAAAATAGCAGGAAGTCAACGACTAAGGCCGACAAACATGAGTTAGACTTCTACCTGTGACTGAAGCGGCACCCCAACCCCCCAGTCCAATGTCCAACAGCAGACTACAGAATAAACCATCTGTGCTATAGCAGTTAGAGCCAGTTGAGATGAGTTGGTAATACCAAAGAAATCTCATTTTTATCCACTTTTGTATCACCTTGTACACTTAGACTGGGTAACATTTTTTTTGAGTTGGAGTCTCACTCTGTCGCCCAGACTGGAGTACAGTGGCTGCTCCCGGCCACCGCAGCCTCGACCTGCTGGGCTCTGGCGATCCTTCCACCTCAGCCTTCTGAGTAGCCAGAATTATGGGCATGCGCTACCACACCCGGCTGATTTTTTGATTTGTTGTAGAGATGAGGTCTCACCAAGTTGCCCAGGCGGCTCTTGAACCCGCAGGCTCAGGCCATCCACTCCCCTCAGCCTCCCAAAGCGTGGGATTACAGGCTGAGCCACTGAGCCCAGCTAAGTTAACATTTTTTAATTGCGTGATAAATTGAAAATGTTGGCCGGAATTCAGTTTTGTACGATTTGCGCTTTCAATGCGACTTTGGTTTCCTTCTGGCCTTTCTGGTGGATATTCTTGCTGCTCCCCCAACAGAGGGAGAAGCTGACCTCCAAACCTGACCACCAGGAAGCGAGGCTGGCAGCTACATGCTGTGAACAGAAGAGTGAGAAACTTCTGCCAGTCTCTTCTGATTTGCCTGAACTATTCAGTTATGCCTTTTCAAGGATGAGGTAAAATGCAGATCTCACTGTGGTCCTGGGCCTGCCACATTAATGGAATAACTGGGAAAGGATGGCTACTGTGCTTGTCCCTCTTCTTTCCTATAGAAACGTTGAAAGCATTCATCAGAGAAACTTCTGTTCCTACATGAGACACCACCAAACTTTTAAAAAGCTGACCAGCTGATCCTTTCTCTCACAAAGTATGTGATATGTCAGCTCAACTGAAGTATTTCCCAGTGATTATTATGAACATGACATGCTTGCTAACTATTACTTTCTTCTCTTATAACCAGAGATAGTCTTCATATCTTGCCAAACACAGATAAGTGCAATAGACTTGTGCTTGAAAGTCCCATGTTTCAACTCACTTTTTGAAGGATGGGAAAATTCCTAGTTAGATTACAGTGATTTCCCCATTAACCATCCTCACAGAATAAAATTCCTCTGTCAGTTAGGTTTTACAAATATTTTTCAATTACACACAGCAGTTTTGTCCTGGGCCAGACAACTCAAGGGCAACATTTCTACATAATAAGGCTTATAATTGCCGAGAACAAAACCACACGTGTGTAACCTCTACTTCGCCTTAAATGCAAAAACCAATGGAAACCCAGAGGCTGGTGGTAGCTGCGGTGGCTCCATGTCCTCTTGAGGCCCTCTTCAAGTTCTCTCCGTCCTACTGGAGAGCTTCACTGTCCTCCTTCATTCTATCACCAAGTCCTCCAGTATCACCTTGACATTTACTGCGCCAGGCACGGTGTGAAGCATGGGAACTAACCAGTATGCCTTCATAGGACTCAGAGTTTTATGGCAAACTCACACTGAGGAGTACGGAAGGGATGGAGAGAGAGCACTAAGACATGGCAGCAATGCCCAGCAGGAGCCACAGCCCAGGTGTGTCTGTGAGCAGCCGGTGAGGGGAAGCCAGCAGGGAAGTTCATGGGAACAAGACATGACTCGGTGTATTTTGGGAAGCTGAGAGGATTCCGCCGTATGATGACCCAGACAGAAAGGATGAGCAACACCTGTGGAAACCCTGCAAGGACACTGCAGTCCTAGAAACGACAACCCAGGGGGAAGGACACAGAGCTCACTCTTCCAGACACTTCATCCAACACACTCCCAGTCGACCCACCCAACTTCTAAAACCACCTCACAGCAAGGCTATTTTCAATTAACAGTAAAAAGGAAACGGGAGGCACAGAGGTGATGAGGCCTGCTCACGGGGCAGAGTTGGTGAGGGCACTGGATCCCTACATGGAGGCACCTGGGCCAGCAGCCCTCCTCTGCACAGTCACACAACGCTGTCTGAAGAGGTCATGGAACAAGGGACTGGATATCATCCGCATGGCCATGGCACAGCACATACATTGCTTGTCCTAAGGAAAATAAAAGTCTGTCGGTCATTTACCCCTGAGGACTAATGACACTTGAATCTGAGTGATGGAAGGTTGCACTGTTGCCCACTGACAGTGTGGTCTACCTTGAAGTTTCAGATCAGTGCTTTCACTTGGAGCCAGATAGTGACCCTAAAGGAACTGGGTAAGGGTGGGGACAGAGGCTTACAAGGACTCTTTTTAGAAGTGATGTTAAAACTACTCTGAAAAATAAGGTTTACTCATTTTGAAAAAAATGAAATGTTCAGTATTCAACCTAAAAAAGAAGAGAGAAAAGCTCTGTCACCATTAAAAAAATTTATGTACACCAGAAGACAGGTGGAAAGAAATCACGGAGAAAAACTTCAACTATACCTCAAGCCAACTCTGAAAAAATTTAAATTAGGACACTGAGTATGAAAAATATTCTAGCCCTTGATCACCCACTGCACCCCAAGTGGCAGCAGAAGAACAACACACCTCTGCAAGAAGGACTGCTCTGTGCCATCCTTTCTTTTTCACACTGTGCAGTCCGCTCTGTTCTCCCAGGAAGGGAGCGGCCTGTCAGAGCATGTGTCACCCCCTTCCTTAGCCCCTGTCCAACCACAGGGCAAGTGTGTTCTTCATGTATTCTGGTTCTAACTACCCTCTGGACTCCTACATGTCAAAGCTCTGAGGTGTGCACACACTGTATGTGCTCCAAAATAAATGACAACCCTTTAATATTAAATAAAATGCCGGCAGTATAATCTCCCTTCTGAGACCTTACCCCTATTTCTAGGCTTTTACTTTGGGCAACTGCATATCCAAGCTGTGGGGCTATCACTGTGAAATACACATGAGCATAAAGAAACATCTTTGGAAAAACTAACAGCTTATTGATTAATACAGAAGGTGAAGGCAGGAAGAATGAGGCAATAGTCTTTAAATCCAGAAAGGTAGACTTGTTACCTCACAGTGTTCTGATGTAGAACTATGAGTTCTAAAAACCAAAATATTTAACTGGCTGGGCGTGGTGTCTCATGCCTATAATCCCAATACTCTTAAGAAGAAGACATAAGAGAATCACTTGAGATGAGGCACTGCAGGCCAGCCTGGGCAACACAGTGAGACCCCTTCTCTATGCAAAATAAAAACATTAGCCAGACAAGGGACACACGCCTGTAATCCCAGCTACTCAAGAGGCTGAAGGGAAAAGATCCCTTGAGTTTGAGGCTGCTGCGTTTCAGCCTGGGCAACAGAGCAAGACCCTGTCTCAAAAAACAAAATCAAAGAACTAAATATTTAATTGTGTCGGCTAGTCACTGCAAAACGTTCTGCATGCCCTCAATGCACCAAAGATAATAAAAGTATTTTTGCCTGTCCCTCTTAAAGTCCAGAGTTCTAAAAAAACTTAAACAATCACTCTCTTCTCTTAAATTCTCGAGTCATTTTATCCATACTGCCCAGTTAGTTTGTTAGTATTTACTTTCTGATTGTTACTGGTGTGTGTGTGTGTGTGTGTGTGTGTGTGTGTGTGTGTGTGTGTGTGTGTGTGTGCGCGCGCATGCGCGCGCACCTTAAATTTCATACCTGGATTTTTTTTTTTTTTTAAGTGGGGGTCTTGCTCTGTTGCCCAGGTTGTAGTGCAATGGTGCGATCATGGCTCACCACAGCCTTGACCCCCTGAGTTCAGGCAATCCCTCCACCTCAGCCTCCCAAGTAGCTAGGACTACAGGCGTGGGACATCATGTCTGACTAATTTTTTCTTTTTTTTTTTTGAGTTGGAGTCTCACTCTGTCGCCCAGACTGGAGTGCAGTGGCTGCTCCCGGCCACCGCAACCTCGACCTGCTGGGCTCCGGCGATCCTACTGCCTCAGCCTTCCAAGTAGCTGGAACTACAGGCGCGTGCTACCACGCCCGGCTGATTTTTTGATTTATTGTAGAGATGAGGTCTCACTGCCCAGGTGGGTCTCGAACCCACGGGCTCAGGCAATCCACTCATCTCAGCCTCCCAAAGGCGCGGGATTACAGGCTGAGAATTTTTTATTTTTTGTGGAGATGAGGTCTCGCTATGTTGCCCAGGCTGGTCTTGAACATCTGGGTTCAAGCAATCCTCCCGCTTTGGCCTTCCAAAGTACTAGGATTACAAGTGTGAGCCACCATGTCTCACCATAACTGGATTTGAAGGTTCCACCTTATATTTCTTTGTTCTCAACAGCCAGCCCTTCTAGCACTTCATATGTCGAACACCTAGCAGCCCCTTGCAAGTCTTTCCTAATTAATTACATTTACCACAATTTACCATGATTTTTGTCACAGAAGGAACTGTTGGTCTGATTTCTTAAATTCTATTTCTTTATACTTTATTTTCTAGTATTTCCTCCTGCAGATTATAGCTCTTTGGTACCATACATGGGTATCAAAGTTATGCTGACTAAACCATACTATTTGGAAGCATCCTTTTTCCATTTAAGTAAAGACAGAGGTTTCCTTTGCCCTTTTCCAAATCATAGATACTCGTACCATATTCCAGAAGATGTCGAAACAACTGTGAGAAGTAACAGTGGTTGCAATTCCAGAAGGAGGGCATTCAGCTAGCCTGGGACTGACTGATGTCAGCTCTCTAAGCAAGAAGAGTCTGGCTTCCCCTCTTCTTGCTCTCAATTCCCACTTGAACAGTACAGGTCTACAAATCCTGTGGCCAGAGTAATACTTCAGTTACTTGGCAGCATATGCCAGAAAATGACAGAAGAAACTAATTATCAAGTCGTTCGACTTCAGTTATCTTGAATCCTGTGAATACAGATCACAAACTCACTTGCAAAAACCACTTCAGATACACCTATGGAACATTCATTTTTCCAAAGACGCCCAAGTACCTACCTTGAAGTTCTCCACTCCGACTGTAGAGCTCCCTTCTCTGCTCGCGTAGATAGGCGCTCATGCTGATGGCATGGGAGGACGATTCAAACCTGCAGGAAAACAGGGAAGGAGTCAGGCACCAGTCAGACATAGTGTGCAGCTGTGCGCTCCTAAAGTATCCTGCCATGGTCTATGTGATGCTCCCACTGGCCCACAATCAGGACACTGTGGCCAGACCCTGACAGGGCCAGGGCCAGGGCCAGGGTCAGTGGCAATAGCTCTTGACCTCCGGAGGATACTCCTGGAAAACATGCCTCTCCAACCATATCTGGCTCTTCTGCTTACTCTCCCTCTCAGCTGGTACCATTCTCTCAGTCCCACTCATTCTGCCTTCAGACCACAGCTCTCATCAGTCCCAGTCATTCTGCCTTTAGAAACCTTGGCCAGTATCCCGACAGACACAGCGGCAAGCACATCCTATCAAGACATCTAAGTATGCTGCCATCAACTCAAAAGCCATCAGTGATTGCCAGCTGCCACCTCAGACACACCGGCTCCTTGGGGCAGAACTCCCATCTTTCTGGCTCTCCCCATTAGAGGACAAGTGCAAAGGCAGACCAGAAATGCCGCTGAATAATGACAGCAAAGAAGCAAGGCATCGAGGGCTCTCCCAAATGTCCTACAACAATGTTGCTTCTAAACAGCAGTCATTTTCTGACCATCCACCCACCACATAAAATAATCTCAGAAATACTGAGCTATAACATGTGTGTTCACACCTATCCCAGTTTCGGAGGTCAGAAACATGGGAGATAGATGCACGACAATGAAAAGGCCTCTGCCTCTAAAAGCTAAAAAAACACACAAGCAAATCAGTCTTAAGAGAAACTTGCAAGTAAGAAAGAAGGGTAAAATTATGACTGTATCAAACAGTAAATCCTTTGACATATTAAGAGATTCTTCATTGCAAACCTGTGATCTCCAAAGGCCGAATAACAACCTGCCAGAAGGAGGAATCCTTCTAAGAATGACTGCCATTGAGGGGTAAGCAGCAACATAGGAAAGGGCAGCCATGACAAGGGGATAGGTTTCTGGCAACAAGGAAGGTGCATCATCATTTTCTTAATGAAGTCTTCTTCAACCTTTGTTTGACAAGAAAGAATACCACAATAATGTCAGCTCATGAGAGAAACACTTGGGTTACTCAGTACCCTCTCTGCATTCTGCCTAGAAATAAGAGGGCGCTAACAGCTAGAAAGAAGGCAAAGTGTGCAGTACTTCAAAAGTGCCACCTGCCAGTCAAGTGCAGAAGGGAAGCCACTGACCTCTAAAAAGCACACTGACAGCTATTGATCAGATATGGCAAAGGGAAAAAGTCTTAAGCAAAGAATAGAGAGACACAGATAGCACAATAAGAGAGGACTTACACACACTTAATTAACCTTGGCTAGGGGCAATTAAAGAGGGTAATAAAAGCCTTTCACAGACATGATTAAAACAGATTACAGCTCCCAAAATCTTCATCCTTTATGACTTGTAGTTTTGCTACTCAGGAATTCCTTTTATATATGCAACAAGTCACGGATTCATATAATTTTACAGTAAAGAGGCACTAGAGATTATTCAGTTGCACCTCCTTACTTTATAGTCAAAGGCACCAAGGTCTGCTAAAACAGGAGACCTGCTCACACATACAGCTCATTAACAATAGAGCCAGACAAGAAGTATGCAATCTGTAACAATGGCCTAATACTACTGTGACAGTGATGAATGTTTGTTACTGCCTAATAATAATAAATATTTAACAAGTATTTAAGTTAATTTGTTCATTTCCAAATATATATATATTTATACATATAGATATTAAGATATATTTAGATATATATCTAAATATATATATATCTATATATAAATATATAGATAGATTTATATATATAGATATATATAGATATATATATCTATATATAAATATATATATATAGAGAGAGATAGATTTATATATATATAGTTTCTAAAACCACAACTTCAGGAGCACTAGCTAAACGCTTGAGAATGTCTGTGGGGTCTGAGGTTAAAAGTTAGGGGTAAACGGTTGAGAGCATGAACTCTAAAAACCCTGAAGCCTGCTTTCTGCAATACCCTAGATTTAGAAATGTAAGTGAACTAGAAAAAAGAAAAGGGAAAGAAAAGCAAGGGCCCAACTAAGCAGCATCTGAGGCTTCTTAGTTGCTCTGCCAACCACCTTTTCCTCCGCTGTCTCTCTGGTTGGCCGGCATATCCCTGACTCCACCTGGGCATTCTGCTTCCTTGCTCCCGCCTTGCTCAGAAACGTGCTCAGGAAACGTGGCTTCCTCTCTAGCTGGAAGCCAAGCACCAGAGATGCACCTGCCTGGTTTAAGACAACCTCTGGTCTGCTTCCCTTTGTCAGTGACTGTTTTAGGAATGGGCCTGAGAGCCGATCCTAGAACCTAATAGGAACTTGCAGAGGGGCTTTGACGCTTAGCAGAATAATGGATAATTAATAATTAATAGAAAATATATTTTAAATGGTACAGACACTTTGAAGATAGTTTGACAGTGTCTTACAAAGCTAAACACAGAATTACCACATGATCCAGTAATGTGCTCCTTGGTATGTACCCAAATAAGTTGAAAATTTATGTCCACACAAAAACCTGTATTTGAATGTATATAGCAGGCTTCATTCATAATTGCCAGAGTTGGAAGCAACCAAGACGCCCTTCAGTGGGTAAACAGATAAGCTCTGGCACCTCCACACAAAGGAATGTGATTCAGCAATACAAAGAGGTAGCTATCAACCCACAAAAAATGTGGAAGAGCCTCAGCTGCCTACCCCTAAGTAACATGCAGCTGAAAAGGCTCCATTTTGCATGATTCTAAGTGCATGACGTTCTGGAAGAGAACAGCTATGGAGGCAAGTGGCTGCCAGGGAATGGAGAAGGGAGGGATGGACACATGAAGCCAGAAGATGTGTAGGACCATGAGACAGCTCCCTATGGCATTGCAGTGGTGGACACACAATGGTCTGCATTTGTCAGAATCCATTAGAAGTGTACAAAATAAAGAGTGAACTCTCTTGTAAGCTGTGGACTTATGTTCATCATGCTGTCACGGTAATGATTCATCAAATGCAGCAAATATGCCATACTAAGGAAGAGGGGACTATAAGAGGATTCTGTGGACTTCCTGCTCCACTCTTATATAAACCTAAAACTGCTCTAAAAAATAACCTCTAAAGAGAAAGAGAGTCACAGGAAGAGTCACATGCCATACCCTTGGCGGCACTAACGTTATTGGACTGGGGCTGAGGCAAACACCTCGTGGTCACAATGGAGAACATCACTGACGTGTAGAGAATGACCAGGTGGAAGGATAGAAAGAACTGGATCCTTTGTGATACTGTAGTGGTGAATTTAAAAAGCCTCTACATCCATCCTTAATATAGGAGACGATAACTTTCCTATGCTTCAGTCTATTCTATTTGTGGTTTTACATTACTTGCAATCAAAAGCATTTTAATATTGCATCTACCGTCTGAACAAAAACAGTTTAAAAAGAAATGCATTCAACAAACAGACCAGATTTCATTCCAGACGGGGACATAGTAAATCTCCTCGCTGTGAGATCACAAGCTAAATGAACTGTTGAAACTTTGACGTAATTAATAAAAACACCATGAAGTCAAGATAAAAGTGAATCAATAAAAGCTACTGAAGCTTCAGGTGTTGAAAAAGAACAAATTGAAAATATTGGGATGGTACTTCTGTGATCATTTTACATGCCTACATTCACAATAACAAGTTCTTATATATCTGTTAACCCAGAGAACACATAAGTTTGAAGTTACACTGCCAGGATTCAAAGCCTGTTTCTACCACTCGTTAGCCATGTGACCTCACATGAATTACTTAGCCCCTCATGTTTCAATTTTTTTATGTTTATAAGAGGATTAAAAATAGAACCCTTTCTAATAAGGTTGATATAATAAGTAAATGAGATAATCCATGAAAATGACTTAATGCCCTGACTAGCGCTTAGTAAGGACCAGAAATGTTAGCTATTATTACTGCTGTTGAAATTTGGTATAATCCAAATTAAATATGTTGAGATCATTTTTTGAAACTCACCTAGTACAGTGCCTGGTGGCCAGGAAGCACTCAATCAACAATAATGGTTATTATTAATGTTAATATCAGTATTATTAATCATTAGCTATTACACTTTGGGCACAAAGCCTGATGAGGTTAACTAAGATAGTAATTAGAAAAAAAAACTCCAGATTGTTCTTTTATTAAACATCTAACCACATAAAGCCCAGTACAATACTGCTTGGCTAAGATTTGCATAACTTTATTAACAAAGGTTGTTTCTTGGCACTTGGGGCTTCTTCAAGGCTGACATTATTTCATTTCTTTTTATTTCGTATAAAATTCCCAGAAACTACCGGAGAGTTTCATTTCCCTTAATTTTATATAAAACTGAGAAACAAGCTCCAAATTTTTATTAAGAGTTCCAGATAGTCCAGTAACCAAATTCCAAAGCAGCCACTTCTCCTTACAGAAAACAAAAGTAAACACAATGAACATATATTCACTTCCTACAAATTACTTTAATCAACTTTAGCTAAAGAAAGTAATGGCTATCCATAAAGTGAAAGGCATACTACTCGGACCTAACACTTCTTGATACCTGCTATCTTACTAGCAGAGTAATACTTACTTGAAAAGAGAATTTTTTGGCCTTTGAGGTTTCTTCTTGGCAAAAAAGGCTGCAAACTCTCTTCCTGTACTGGCATAGCTTAGTTGAGCTGATGGTTCAGAGGCTGTACGAGTATTTTTCATATCCAAGTACTCAGTCAATAGCATCTAAACAACAAGACAGTTTAATACACATATTTTAATGTGCTACTAGAACAATCATTTTTAAAACATGCAAATATAATTCTAAAACATAATCATTCCTGACATTCAGAAGTATTCAGTTAAACTGGTCATGCATTTTTCTACTAGATCTGAGCTGAGGAAAGATTCATTATAGTCAGAATGTCATCCTGCGTGTTACCTATTCATGAGGAACAGCATGTAGTGGGCAGTTGAACAGGGGTGAAAAGAGAACAGTTTTATTGATCATCTGCTTATATGCAAATACTATAATAAGTGAGCTAATCAACATTCTTTAACCATAATTCAGTATCCTGAATTACTGCAACATTTGCAACAATGTCATGATATTTCTCTGAGGGCTTATTATGCTGTAGGCAAGACACTGTTCATTTAGATGTATTGTCTCATTTAAAGCACAAAATTTGTGCCGGGCTCGGTGGCTCAGCCTGTAATCCCGTGCCTTTGGGAGACTGAGGTGAGTGAATAGCCTGAGCCCGCGGGTTCGAGACCCACCTGGGCAGCGAGACCTCATCTCTACAATAAATAAAAAAAATCAGCCGGGCGTGGTGGCGCATGCCTGTAATTCCGGCTACTTGGAAGGCTGAGGTGGAAGGATCGCCAGAGCCCAGCAGGCCGAGGCTGCGGTGGCCGGGAGCAGCCACTGCACTCTAGTCTGGGCAACAGAGTAAGACTCCAACTCAAAAAAATAAAATAAAATAAAGCACAAAACTTTATCAGGCAAACACTCAGATTATATATAAGAAAATGGGCTCCAAGAGGTGCAGGACCTACAAAGTAATCCCTCGAGGGCTGACTAAGGAGTGCCTGCTCCCATTACCCAGACTGAAGTGCAGTGTGGAGTGCCTGCTCTTCCCACTCACTGTGTTAGCATAGTAAATAAGTACTTTAACAAATCTTCTAAGGAGAAGCATAGAAAGCAGGGCCATGGCCACTACTCATCGTGGAAGTGTCCAAGAAAGAAAAACTGCTTTTTTGATCCAATACTGCCTCCAGGCAGATTATAAAATCAATCCACTTTGAAGTCTCATAATAATCACAAAGCAAAAGCCTATAATAGACACACTGAAAACAAAAAGCAACAAAGTAAAACATATTACCAGAGAAAACCACATAACCACAAAAGAAGATAATAAAAAAAGAAGAAAGTTAGAGAATTACAAAACAACTAGGAAATAGGTAACAAAATGGCAGTACTAAGTCCTTACCTATCAATAACAACATTGAATGTAAATGAACCAAATTCCACAACTGAAAGACATAAAGTCACTGAATGGAGTTAAAAAAACAACACCCAATTATATGCTGCATACAAGACACTCACTTCATCTATAAAGGGACACATACACTAAAAGTGAAGGGATGGACAAAGATATCCCATGCAAAGGAAAACCGAAAGAGAGTAGCTATATTTGTATCCGAAAAAATAGACTTTAAATCAAAAACTGTAAAAAGAGATTTGTAAAAGGTCATTATATAATGATAAAGGGGTGAATTCAGCAAGATAACATAAAAATAGTAAATATACATATACCCAACACTGAAGCATCCAAATATATAAAATAAATGTTAATAGATCTAAAGGGAGAGACAGACTGCAATAAAATAGCAGCAGAGGACTTCATCATTCACTCTCAGCAATGAACAGATCATCCAAGGAGAAAATCAAAGAAGCACTATCACTTAACTCTACCCTAGGGCAAATGAACATAACATATATTTACAGAACGTTTCATCCAATTGCGACAGAATACACATCCTTCTCATCAGTGCATGGAACATTCTCTAGGAATGACCATAAGTCAGGTCACAAGACAAGTCTCCACAAACTCAAAAAAGTCAAAATCATATCAAGTGCCTTTCCAATCACAACAGAATAAAATCAGAAATCAGTAGCAAGAGAAACTTTGGAAACTGTACAAATACATGGAAATTAAACAACAATGCTCCTAAAAAACCAATGGGCCAGTGAAGAAACTAACAAGAAAATTTAAATATCTCTTGAAATAAATGAAACTGGAACCACAACATACCAAAAACTAGGACATAACAAAAGTAGTACTAAGAGGGAAGTTTTTAGCAATAAACACCTAATCAAAAAAGTAGAACGACTTCAAATAAACAACCAGATGATGCAACTAAAGGAACCAGACAAACGGGACCAAATCAAACCCAAAACTAGAATAATAACATCAAAACAGAAATAAAAATTGAGACGTAAAACCAATACAAAAATCAACAAAATGAAAAGTTGGCTTTTTAAAAGAGAAACAAAATCAGTTAACCAGTAGTAAGACTAAGAAAAAAAAGAAGACTCAAATAAATAAAATCATAGAAAAAATCAAACATTGAAACTAACAGCAGAGAAATATAAAAGACCATTAGAAACTATTATGAATGACTACACACCAACAAATTGGAAAAGCTGTAAGAAACAGATAAATTCCTGGACCCATAAAACCTACCAAGACTGAACAATAAAGAAATAGAATACCTGAGCAGACCAACTATGAGTAACAAGATTGAAGCAGTCATTTTAAAAAATCTCTCATCAAAGAAAAGCCCAGGACCTGATGGATTCACTGCTGAATTCTACCAAACATTTAAAAGAAGAACTAATACCACTCCTACTCAAACTATTTCAAAAAATTGAAAAGGGAATAATTCCAAATCATTCTATAAAACCAGCATTATTCTAATACCAAAACCAGACAAGGATACAACAACAACAAAAGAAAACTAGAGGCCAATATCCCTGATAAACACAGATGTAAAAATCCTCAACAAAATACCAGACAATCAAATTCAACAACACATCAAAAGATCATTCACCATGATCAAGTGAGATTCAACCCAGGTACGTAAGGATTGTTCAATATATGCAAACCAATACATGCAATACAACACACCAACAGAATCAAAGACAAAAACCATATGATCATTTAAATAGATGCTAAAAAGGCATTCAATAAAATTCAACATCCCTTCATAATAAAAACTCTCAGCAAAATGGGTATAAAAAATAAATACCTCAACATGATAAATGCTATATATGATAAATATCTATTCTCAACTAATATCATACTAAATGGGGGGGATTGGAAAGCCTTCTTACAAATATCTATCTGGAACAAGACAAGGATATCCACTCTTACCACTTTTATTTAACATAGCACTGAAGTCCTGTCAAGAGCAATTAGGTGAAACAAAAATATAAAGGATATTCAAACTGAAAAAGAAGAAGTCAAATTATCATTGTTTGCAGGCAAATGATCTTATATTTAGATAAACCGAAAAACACTCAAAAAAATTGATAAATTTAGTAAAGGTGTAGTACACAAAAATCAACATACAAAAATCAGTAGTGTTTCTATGTGCTAACAGAGTTCAATCTGAAAAACAAATCAAGAAAACAATCCCCCCCACCAAAAAAAGCTTTAAAAAAAAAATCCTAGGAATAAATTTAACCAAAGGAATGAAAGATCTCTACAAGGAAAACTATAAAACATTTATGAAAGAAATTGAACAGGACACACAAGAAATGGAAATCCCATGCTCATGTACTGGAAGAACTGACATTGTTAAAATGTTTACGCTACCCAAAGCAATCTACAGATTCAATGTGATCCTTATCAAAACACCAATGAAATAATTCACAGAAATAGAAAATAAAATCCTAAAATTCATATGGACCACAAAAAACCTTAAATAGCTAGAGCAATCCAGACCAGAAAGAACAAAGTGAGAGGCAACACACTACCTGATTTCAAATTATACTACAAAGCTATAATAATCAAATCAGCAATGTATTGGTACATAAAAACAGACCCATAAACCAATGGAACAGAATATAGAGCACCCAGAAATAATCTACACACTTACAGTCAAGTCATTTTCAACAAACACTGGGGAAAAGACAGTTACTTTAATAAATGGTGCTGGGGAAACAGAGTATCTCTGAGCAAAAGAATAGAAAAACCAACTCAAAATAAATTAAAGACTTAAATGTAAGATCTGAAACTACTAGAAGAAAGCATTGGGGAAACACAGGAGATTTTTTGAGTAAGACTTTAAAAGCACAGGCAACAACAATAAAAATGGACAAATATGATTAGAACACACTAAATACCTTCTTCACAGCAAAGAAATCAACAAAGTGAAGAGACAATCTACAGAATGACAGAAAATATCTGCAAACTAACCATCCAACAAGGAATTAATAACCAGAATACATAAGGAACTCAAACAACAATAGTGCATATATATATTATATATATATATAATTTAAAAGACCTGAATAGACACCTCAAAAGAAGAAAGAAATGGCCAACAGATACAGGAAAAGAAATGCTCAAAATCACTAATCATCCATGAAATGCAAATTAAAATTACACTGAGATATCATCTCACCCATAAAATGGCTATTATCAAAAAGACAAAAAATAAATACTGGCAAGTAAACAAAGGGTAAGCCAGGTTCACACCTATAATCCCAGCACTTTGGGAGGCTGAGGCGAGAGGATTGCCTGAGTCCACTGGTTTGAGGGCAGCCTTAGCAACATGGTGAGACCTCGTTTCTATAATAAATAAAAAAATTCGCTGGACATGGTGGCTCATGCCTGTGACTCCAGATACTTGGAAGGCTGAGGCGGAAGGACCACCTGAGCCCAGCAAGTCAAGGCTGCGGTAGCTGTGAGCGTGCCACTGTACTCCAGTCTGGGTGACAGAGTGAGAATCCTACTCAAAAAAAAAAGAAAAAGAAAGAAAGAAAGGGTAATGCCTGCACACTGTTGGTGGAGTGGAAAATATTACAGCCATTATGGAAAACAGTATGGAAATTCCTTAAATAATAAGGAAAAAATAAAAATACCATATCATATGATCCAGCAATTCCACTGCTGGGTATCTATCCAAAGGAAAAAGAAACCTGTATATCAAAGACCTCGCTGCACTCCTATGTCATT